CTCCCAAGTAATAAAGTTATAAACTGTTGTATTATCTTAACCGAACTGCCCAGAGAAGGGTATAGTTGCTAAATAGTCAAAGCTACTATACTTCCCTCTTGGACACCGCTATAAACCTGTAAAGGATCTCTGTAGCCGTGTCATTGTTATAGTAAGGAGTTAAAGAAGGCCTCCCTACTGTAACAGTACTTTTCATAGCAGGGTCACTATCAGTGATGAATATATTAAGTATTTGCCTTTTTGTTGTTTTTTTAGTCATATGCAAGACCCATTCATATGATTTTTTGGTTTCATTACTTATTAATATCTAAGCAACTATTTTTGATTTTATATTATTATCTACAATAACAAAAAGTGACAATGGTATATAATATCGATTCATTTTAGCAGTATTATCATGACCAACTGAATCACCAAACTTATGCTACAAAATAATTTGCTCTGGACTCATTTAGAAAATTTCTGTAAGACTATTAGTTTCTAATTCCTAAGTCACTTCAACAAATTACCTTGGGTCTTTATGTTGCTTAGCTTGCAACTTCTCATATAGTTATGCTACATCACCTATATTAGACTGTATTAATGTTTTATTTTGTTGAATTTCTGTATAGAAGTTCTTTATATAAATTAGCTGAAAAGGTTACTTTTTTAAAAAAATTTGTTTAATTATTGTTATACCAAAATTGCACTTCTTAACATAAAACTCAACATTTTTTTCATTTCATTTGTAAATGCTTTTAACTTTTTGAATTGTAGTGCCTTAGATCACATCTTATGACTATGCTTATTCACAAACATTGTTACAAAAACACATAAATCTGGATTCTGTTTTAGTGGTCTTGAGAGGTTAATATGCTATAGACAACCTTTTCTTATTGTTTTTTTAGACTTTTTAGAATTTACTTGTTAATAACTACCAAAATGATGACAGTAAATTGTTTTTTTTCTTATTATCTTTTCATTTTCAGCAGTTTTAATAACAGTACTACATTCTATTACTATATTAAAACCTATAAATTCAGTATAATTTCACACATGTTTTTTTACAAGATCAAAATCATCAAATGATTGACCCTTTTCTATTGTAATAGCTTTGACATTTTTATATAATATTTTAATATTATCAGATAAGGCTTGAATATCATTAGGAAAAACTACAACATTTTCAAATAAGGCTTCAATATCATTAGAAAGAGTTTTAGAGTTTTTAGGTAAGATTTTAATAATATTGAAAAAAGCTTTAACATCATACAATAAGGTTTTAATGTCTTCATGCAAGGCCTTAGTATTAACACCACTATGGCATTTTTTATTCAAAACATATTTTAAATTAATATTATTGTTACTAATTATGGTCTCATCAGATAAGTTTATTAATGCCATTTTATTATTTGTATTTTTCATAATTATAGATAAGTGCTTATATTAGTAAATAGCAATAAAAAAAAAAACACAAATGACTTGTACTATTTATATGAGAGTAAATCATTATAATTGTAGACAATAATGTAAACAAATAACTGAATTTGAATTTAACTTTATAATCATTATTATTGTCATCATTTGTAAACAAATAGCTGGGTTTAAATTCAACTTTATAAATTTGATTTTATATTGCCATCAATGTAAACAAATAGCTAGGTTGAGATTAGAAATATATAAATACAAACTATTATATAATTTAATAATACCTGTAACTGGAGTGCAATATATTGCCTGGTGCAATATGTTGCCTAATATAAAATTTTATAAATTTCTTAATTATTACTGCTAAAAATTCTTTAGTTTTTTTGCTTAATTTGATTATCTTTTATAAAAAGATTATAGTCTTTTTTTCTACTAGATCTTTAATTATTTCATCTCTTGTTCTAAAAATTTCTTCTATATGTATGTTTTAAAGTATTTCTTTAAACTAAATTTTCTTTACTTTTATTTAAATTTTTCTTGATAAATTTGATCATATAAGATTTATTAAATTATTCTTTATAATTTTTAACTATCTTTATAGTATTTACATAATACTAAATCATTTTGGTCTTTATTGTTTTTTTTATAAAAGTTACAAATTGGTTTTTTATAAAAATTAAAACATCATTGTACTAGTACTTTGATTATAACTAATTTTTTTTTAAGTTATTTATTTTTTTTTATATTTGTATACTTGCTTTTATTTTGATCTTTAATCTTTTTTCAAAAATGTGATCAAGTATAAATATCAGAATTTTTATTTCATTCTATCTTTCTAATTATTGAAATAAACCTTTATTCTATGTTTGTTTTAAGGTTTAAGATTTTTTTTGTAAATTGGCTAGTTAGATATTTTACTATTTTTTTTTTTAATTAAGTTTAATACTGGTTTTTTAAAAAGTTTTTACAACTATCCTATCTATACTATCTACTTTTAATCTTTCTTTTACTAATTTGTCTGTTTTATTGTTTTATTTATTTATGCTATATTTTTTTATCTTGACTAATTTTACTTTTAATTCTTTTAAGTTTATACTACTTTTAATATTTTTAATTAAGTAATCATTTTTTTTATTTAATTATTACTTAAATATTAAACTTATATTTTTATCTTCTAGACTAGCAATAACCACTATGTTATCTGTAAATATTTTGACTTTTTTCTTTTTTTATTATAAGTAACACATATCATATTACTAAAAACTTTAGTTTCATTAATGATAATTAATTTTGTATTTTAAAAAAGCTTTTATTAAGAATTTTTTTTCTTTTATATTTACTTGCATTTATTCTGCATTTATGCAATTAGAACTTGTTTTTTCTTCCTTTATTTATTGTTTTAAAGTCTATCTGTATAGAATATAAAATCATTTTTTAATATTATTTATTTATTTTTTTATTTATTTTTTTTCCTTAAGCAGTTATATTAGTATTTTATTAAGATTTTGAAATTACATTTGCAATTATATAAATGTTCTTAACAACTAAGCCTAGTATTACCTGGCTATCTTAATGGTATCTAAATGCAATCTGTTATATTATTTTAAACAGAAGTAAACTACTTGTCTAACTACTTAAAGTCCATAATAGAAGGGTCTTCTCTTTTCTATAATATGTTTTAAAATTATCTTCTATAATTCTGTTCTGATTTGTTTTTCTTTTTCTTTTATTTTTTCTTTCTTTTTTTCTATTCTTTGCTGATTTGCCTTTTTTTCTTTACTTGATCACAGCTTCTTTTTTTCTTTTTTTCTTTTTAACTTACTTATTTTTTCTAATTTTTCCTTCTATTCACTAATTTTTTTATATCAGACTCTCTATACTTGTTTGTAAAATGTATTCCAGACCATACTTGCTATTGCATTTGCAAACTGCTGTCTTGACTTTGTATTTAGAAGCTGCTATAATTAATTTTGTGTTTCTTTTGAAATTAGGTCTTTAATTAGAGCCTCTCTTATTCTTACTTCTTCTGCTTCTATTTTATCAAAAAGTGTTATATATAATACATATAAAGAGATTCACACTTTTTTCTCTTCTCTAAGTTTCTTTCAGATTGTTGTGAAGTTATTTTTTGATTTTTTTACAAATTTTCTTGACCTTTGTATGCTGCTAAATGCATCTGTATTTTTTTGATTTTATCTTTACATATTTGGCATTCAGTTGTTATATACACATCTGGTTTTCTTTTATTAAGTTCTTCTAGAGTCAAAAGTTTGTCTATCACATCTTTTATAAATGCACTTCTTCTGGCACTAATTCTTCTTATTGTATAGTGTACTTCTTTTGTTATCTTTAGTCTTTTTTAAAAATATGTCCAATTATAAATTGTAATTTCTGATTCTGGTTCTAATTCTTTAATTGCTTTTGTTTCTCATCATTCTGTTCTTAATCTTATATTCATTATTAACTTACATAGCAATCTTGCTAGTATATTAGTTTGTTTGTTTTCTTACTCTAAGCAGTACTCTATTTCTTTACAATTAACTTTTTTGATCTATATTATCTTTTTGCTTGTTGCTTTTTTCTTTGCCAGGCTATTAGCTTTATTATTCTATTTATCTTTACTATAACTCTTTACTTTAGATAACTTTATTTGAATGTTTTTGGTTGTAATAAAATCTTTGATCTTCATTATCTATATTGCATTCTTCTTTTTAAGGATCTTGTTTTTATCTGTTTGTTCTAAACCTCTATTAATATTTCTTATTGTCATATTACTATCTGTATATATTTCTACTTGCTTTTTCTTTGATATTATTAATATTGCTATTCATATTGCTACTAGCTCAGCTATTATTAATGTTTGTTATTCTTTCAGGTCTATTGCTATTTTCTCTTTTGGTCATTCTTGTGTTTTATTTATTTGGACCCATCTTATGTCTATTCTATTTTCAGTTACTATATCTTTTTGACCTTCATGTTTGCTATGCTATCTGTATATATTATATACTTGTTCTTGTTTTTTGTTACATTTCTTTTTAAGACTTTTATTATTTCTTGGTTGATATTCTTATTTAGCTTTTGTCACTTAATGATTTCTATTTCTAACTTCTCTATTGTTCTAATTTCTTCAAGTTTTTGTTCTTCAGCTTCTGGTCTTTTTATCTTTATTGTTTCTGTTATTTGATCTATTGCTATATTAATTCTATTACTGTCTTTTTTTATTAACACATTCAAAACCATGTTAATTTTGCTATTTATTCTGATCTACTGTTAGCAGCTATCTTCTGTTTGCTCTTTTACTCTTGTGCAACTCTTGTATCTCTTTATTTCAACAGCTAATTCATCTTCTCTACTTTGCATTTGCTAGTGTTCTACTAGTATTTTTTTTTTTTTTTTTTAATTATTTTTTCCAACTATTTATAGTTTTGTGTGCCATATACTATTTATTCTTTTCTTCTCTTATTCTCTGATATACTCTTTTATTTAATTTGTATTGCCTATGTATTTTGTTTATTTATCCTAAAATGTTTTTTGACCTCTTTATTTTCTAATTTACTAAGCACTTTTTGTTCTATTATTTTGAACTAATCTGCTTTTTTCTCTTTGCTTGACAAGCCTTAGTAATTTTTTAACTACTAATCTTTCTTCTTTTATATTGAGTAGCTGGTTTAAATATACTAAACCTTCTTTATTTATTTTAGTTTTACTTCTTTTCTATAGATTAGCATTCACAAGCTTATTTATTTTGGTGCCATACCTAAATATTGTTTATAAATTGTCTTCTGTTCTTATGTTTATTTTTAATTTTGCTTTTAATATTGCTAAGCAAGTCAGGTTATTTCTCTAACTGTTTGTGTTTTCTGATATTTTCTCTACTTTTCATATATTTTTTGTTAGATTTGCCCTTTGAAGCCTTGTGTTATTCTTAGCTTTGTTAGCTTTCCAAGTCTATCTTGTATGTTTAATTTTGTTACTAGCTTATCTACTTAGTTCATTATTATCTTTTGTTATAATATTCTATAGCTTCTAAAGTTTTTATGTTCTATTATGCAGTTCTTCAATGTTTTTTACTGATTACTCTTCTGCTTTGCCAAACTTATTATTGGTTTATGTATTTCACTTAAGTTTCTTTCTGACATCTTTATTAGTTATAGCATATAACTTAATTTTTTTTTTTTTTTAACCTTAAGCAGTTACACTAGTACTTTATTAAAATTCTTAAAACTATATACATTTATAATTACATAGAATTTTCTAATATCTAAGTCTAGCATCACTCAGTCACCCTATTGGTATCTAAGTACAACTTGTCGCACTATATCAGTTAGAGATAGACTGCTCATCTAACTATACCAGAAGGGTCTTTTCTCTTCTGTAATAAGCATATCAATTGTCTTCCAAGCTTCCTTCTTCATTTGGTTTATTTTTTCTATTTTCTTTTGATTTTCTTCTTTTTTTGTCCATTTATCTTTCTTTGTTTTTTTCTTCAACTTTTTTCTGATTCAAGTGCCTTTTTTTATTTTGCTTGTTATGTTCATCTTCTTTTCCTATTCTTGTACTTTCTCACATCAAACTCTCTATACTTGGTTATAGAATGTATTCTATACTGTTCTTGTTATTATTCCTATACATCACTGTGTTGTCTGTTTATCTAACATCTGACTGATCTTTTTTTCTACTTTGTTCATAGTTAACCCTTTTATCAGTGCTCTTCTGTTAATAATTTCCTCTGCTTCTGTTTTTCCAAAATTTGCTTCATATAGCAATTGAGATGAATTCTGGTTTTTTCATTCTCTTTAAGACTATTCTATGCCATTGCTGTTGCTACCTTTTGAATTCTCTTCCACAGGCACTTTTGTTTACTACAGCTTGCCAGATGTGCTTAAGTTTTCTTTTCACCTGTTTAACATACTTGGCAGTTTGAAGATATATATATTACTGGTTTTCTTCTGTTTAATTCTGCTAGTATTGGTAGG